CCCCACCCGGCTGGAGGTGGCCCGCGCCGGGCCGCGGGTGGCGCAGGCCTGAAGCCGGCATCGGGAGAGGAGGGCCGTGGCCTCGGCAACCGACCGGGGTGTCTGATGTGCCCCCGCAAGCCCGCCTCTCCCCTCCGCGATAGCTCCCGGTCACTCGTTTCACCATTTGCGTTTGATAAATTAATTAAGGATTAATTAAAATCTAAGACCAGTGAGATTATTTAAACAAGGCTCTCTCACCTCCCGAGGTAGGACACGGGACACACTGATGGTCTGGCAAGAGGCAGTGAGAAGTGCAGATGCCCACTTCGTCCCTTGCACGGGTGTCCAAATACACTCGGCCTTACCCTTCATTTAGGTACGCTTCTTCCCTTCAGTTACCATCAGATATAAGTAGAGAAGCTTTTAAGTCCACATAGCGTCAGAATTTACGAGATACACTTCAAGAAAGACATGCTGTTGGGAAAAGACCGTCAGATACCCCATCACCAGAGGCAGTGGAGCACATCATGAGGGGACATTGCACCGAATGTGCTAGAGGAGGTGCATAGGAGCTGTACCTTCATGGACAGTAGCACCTTCAGGGCAATATATGTGTGTATAGGAGCAAGCAGGTATGCACTCTCTCTGGACTTTGAGTCACATTCTTGCTGGTCTTGGGTAACACAGGAATTTCCTAACTGACAACACATTCAGTATTGATTTAAATAGATCTATTTTCTTGTCTGGAAATGAAAACAAAGCACAATCTAAATTGTCACGATTAATGCAGGAGAACATGCCTTGCATCTGACAAGATCAGAGTTCGCATTTCATTTATGTATTTATTTTATACCTTTCAGTAATCTCAGGCTGAAATTTACTCCCGTGAATAGAGAAATCTGGCACAGCTTTGACCTACACCATATTTTTATTATTTTATAATTTGAGGCCTTTTCTCAAGGTAAAATAATTTAAATATTTATTTTAAGCTTAAAGATGGAAATGATGCCAAAGGCAGAATTAGCCACATAGAAAACAAACAATCCAAACACTGCTAACAACGTGCATGTACCCAGCTACTGCAGTATGAGATTTCTGAGCCAAGAGCAAGGAACAGAAAGAATTCATGTTAAATACAGTAACAACACCCTGTGATGAGATTGGAAAACAGAATTAAAATTCTGGAGGAAAAACTCTAAGCTGATATTAATAAATTAAATCAGAGTAAGTTCTTTTACTTCCCTGGTGCATTCCTGGTATTCATTTGCTTCACCCAAAGGTGTAGCTTGGTTGAATAAGCAAAGAAAAAAGAAGTGCCCAAGGAAACACTTGATATATAAGACAGAAAAGCACTCAGAAATGGTGCAACCTTTCTGCGTCAGTGATATTCATGTAAATGCTATAGAACAACTTTCCAGGTGTTTCCTCACATAATGTGCCTTGTGGAAAAGCAAGGGTGTGTAGAGCACAAAGCAAGAATGAGAAGGCATTTCTTCTCCATTTAGGTAACATTGGTATGTTTGAATCAGGGAATCAAGAGATGACTGGGATGCCAGTAGACAATAAATTAGGCTAATCTTAAATTTTACAGCAAAATTTACTAGATTGACATTCATTAACCCAGTTGTGCTAAGAGTTCATTCTTACACCTTGCTAAGCATTAGCACAATGTATTACATTTTTACATCTTACCGACTCTTAGCAGGGATTCAGAACAGTCAGTGTCTAACAGCTATATCCCACCTGAGCAGGGAGTACACAGGACCAGAGAGCAGATGCCTTCTTGTTAGTGCTGGTGGCTCAAGTTCTCAGTAGTCTCTGGGGCCAGCTGCAGGAACATTGGACGCAGGTTTCTACTTTCAGCCCCCTCCCACAAATTTGGGATCTTACCTTTTTATAAGGCTGTGCAACCTCTAAGATGATTCCCAGCCTTCCACCTTCACCCTCGGGCAATGTTACTGTGCAAAGCAGGGCAGGGTGTTCTTTTCCCAGGCTGCTGCAGGTGCCTTATTCACTCCTTGGGCGGTCTTGTTTATTTTGCTTGCTGCTGCTTCCTTTCTTAGAGCAAAAGCAGTCTGTTCCCAGTTGTCAAGGCTGTGCTTTGTCAAACACCAGTCACTGACTGTCAGGGAGTTGTTTTTGGTGCCATGGCCTTTGCTTTCAACTTGTGCCCATGTTTTCAAGGCCTTTGTTACATCCCACACTTAAGCTGTACTTCATAACAAGAGGCAGCTGTTACCCAGCTCTGGTTCCCACAGCAAGTCCTCAGAATAAGTCGATAGCCAGCCCAACGGGGCCTTGACCAGTTAGCCAAGGGCCAGGGCTGTTCACTAGCGCCAGTGCTTTTACTGGGCTGCTGGGCACAGAAATGCACGTACAGCAACACCATACATGTGCTTACACCTGGGTTCTGAACCAGGTGATGTAAATGCAGCTTAGTGGTTTCTAACATCACTGGAGGAACAAGACTTTGCTTTAGCTTCCAGGTACAAGGTGGGAAGAAATAGCTCCACCTGGTATACCAACACATAACTGATTTTACTACTTACTACTGCAGCATTAAACAAATCAGAGTACAGTGTAGTACAGTAACAGTTTAGGACCTTCTGAGAACCAGCAAATGAAATAAATTTCTGAGCACAATGGAGATGGCAACATCTCCATCATGAAAGAGGCTGAACAATCACATTAACACAAGGCTTGTGATTAGCTTCTGTAAGAAGCTGTGTTTATTTTCTCCTATTTTTCAAAAACCTGGTAGGTAGCTTATTGCTGTAGAGAACCAACAAAGCCCCTCTAAGTTGCATGCTTCATCAACAGTGTCAGATTAAACACATTCAGGTAAATTCTTGGATCTCTGAGTACAAGAGCCTTTACCCCAGTGAAGGAAAGCTTCAAACTCTTGTCTCCATGCCTTTGCTTCTACCTTCTTTTCTCTTACTAAACACGCTAATTCCTAAGTTCATATGATGCTTTTTATCTATAGGTGTGTTCTGACCCATTTTGACAATCCAGTTAAAAATACCCAAGGGTTAGAAATAACTGTTTATTATGAAAATATTGTACAAATATTTATGTCTGATTCCTGAACCATCAAAATATATCACAAAGAATTAGTTTTCTAGAAAACAAGGAAAAAAGTGCATTGTAGCGTATGTATTTGTTTAAGTTTGTGTAATACACTTTTTAGTGTATATATTAATAATCTTCAAAGATCTTGTTGAATGTCATTCAATACATGTGTTAATCGTCTTATTTTATTTTCCATGACTTTTTTATTGTTTGCCGTTTCCTGCAGAAGTTGCCGCATTTCTTCTTCAACATAGTAAACCTGAAAGAGCACACAGATCAAATAGAATTCTGTATTTAAAATCATAGAATCTTGGCAGTTTTTAATACTGATAAGCAATGCAAGAGTTATATGCTTATGCTTAAATAAGCCACTGGATGCAGTAGCAGAATTTTGCTTTAAGGAAAGTATTAATTTGCTAGGAGATAGTGAGTAACGTATCAGAACCAAAATACCTACTACACAGAAAAAGCATCAGTTGCCATGCTAAGGAAAAATGTGGTATATGACAGGAACAGTAACTGGTAACACTGGCACAGGTGAGTTAAATGGATTATCTGGCATAATCATCCCTATTCTTGCCTGTATAGATAAGGAATGTTTACCTATCAACTCATAACAGCTACATAGTAGAGAACTTTACTTTGCTTGAATACAGAACCTTACAATGGTACATTTCTACAGATTTTCCTGCTGTGCAAAGACTGAGTACTAAACCAGGGCTGTTTCCATTCAGAGATTAGCCAGATAGCTATAAACAGGTGACTTCCTAGCACCATTGTTGTAGTAGCTGTAGAATAAAAATGCAAATACAGTAAACATAAAAATTCAGTATTAGAATTACTTTTTGATTTGCTGCTTCAATTTGTTTTTCCTTTTCATTTGTTAGCTGCAACAGTTCTTCCTGATGAGCTGCTAACATTGACTCTAGTTGTTTTCTAAAAGCATCATCCATTTCATGAAGTTTTTCCACAGCAATCCTAAAAAATTATTAAATAAATAAAAAAATAATCACACTTCTGCAAACAACTGAAGTATTTTGCTTTGCCCAATTCTGCCTTTGATAAAGTTAATAACACAAAGACAATTATTTCAGTATCTAGCTTCATAAGACATCTTGTTTTCTCAAGTATGTGTTCTAGTTTTATGCACAGTGTTTAAGGCTTCTGGCACTCCTCTTGGCAGAAGCATTTAATCACTAGCAAAGAATACAAAGATTCAGGCTTGCTACTGCCAACACTGATAAGAACTCCACCTGTTTTCAAACATCTCCTTACCATGTTTTTGCTTCCTTAGAAGTCAAAGCCTGAACTATACAATCCTGTAAACGGCCTGTAAGCCTGTGTCTCACAGAAACAGAAAAGCACCCGCTTCACAGGGGTGCTGAAGCATTTCCTTGACTCCGTGCAAATTCTGCTTTTAGGGGATAATTCTAAAATATGTAGCAACAGAAAGCAAGGCAAATTATTCTATTACACAATTAATTTGCAACAAAATTTTGAAACAAGACAGAATTATTTGGGACAAAATTTCAGTTTCATTACTCATCTTCTAACCATTCCAAAACCTAGTACTATTGACTATTTGAGGTGGTTGGGGTTTTTTTTGTTGTTTGTCTATTATTATTTTTTAAACTCAAACTTGACCATCAAGGTATTTTCCTTATTAATCAGATGACCATCCTTAAAATAATAGCAAAAGTATAATTAATCAGAGTGTTTAAATTAAAAATATAAATAAAAAAATCTCAGGCATACTAGGTTATTTCTTCAGTAACAGTATGGTTATCCCTGCTAGATACATATGCAGTCTTACTAACTAGGTAATATTTTTCTTAAGAATAGTTGTGAGGAAGGAAAAAAAATAAGAGAAAGGGGCCAAAGAATAAAGTAAAAAAATCATACTAACAATCTAAGCTCATCATAGGCAGCAGTCTTCCATACTTCTCCATAATGCCAGAGACATATGAAATAACTGAGCGTCATCTAAGGCCCCAGCCATTTTATGGGTTATGGGTATTTGTTCCTGTATCATCTCATATTTACTATTAAAAAAATTGCCAGCACAAGAGGAATAATAAAAGAAATTAAAACCCTGTTGCTACTTGCATGGGAAGAGAATGACAGGTAACTGAAAAACAGTCTATCACAGACTGAAATATTTATTATTATTACTGTTTACCTTATCATTGGTTGTGATAAGCACGGAGGATCTGTCCTCAACTTCCTACACTGCACGCAAAGCATTTTCATCATCCTGTGCAGACGCTGGCGAAGCACTGTGGCCTCTCTCGTAAGCCCAAATGCCAGCCACAGTTGCTTGGCTTGACCTCTGATTTGCAACCAATTTGTCCCATGCATCCTGGTCACAGGCTAGAAAAGGCTGACAGGCTCGTGATCAAAGAAACCCCACTACAGACTGTGCCTCATGTGTTCAAGGGCCTTCACTGCATGACTCCAGCCAGCAGGTGTAATGACTGTATAGAGAGGCCCTATCCCATAAGTGTGACATGGAGTTTCCTCAGAGGTAAACCAAAAGCACTGTGATAGAATGGACATACTAGGGAGGAATGAGTGTAGGCTCCAATTATTTTCAAAGAAAATAGGAACATAGCTAAGAAGTTTAAAGGATGACTGCTGTAACTGAATGCTAGTTCCACACAGTCACCCATATAGCAAGAATTACTTCTACGCACCCAGAGCTTGCAGCAACTGGGCTCACCAAGTACTTTATGCATTCTTTCACTAGATAATCAAACATCTTTGTATGCTTATTTACGGTGCAACTCTATAGTAACTGAGCAGCCACAAAATAAGCTATCAAGGTTTTCACCTCTGAGTTTGAAGACTTTTATTTCTCTCTTCAATCAGCTTCTTCTCTTTGATATCAAAGTTCTCCTTCATTTGTTTAACTTGCACCTCCAGCTGGCTTAATAGCTCTCCTTTACCTTGCCACTGCTTTTTCAGTGCACTGAAAATAAAATGCACGTATTTACAATGAATGTAGATACCATGCCTCAGGAGGTTGGAAAAAGTTTCAATTTTTCCAGGTTTCTGTGGGTTTTAATTACAAGCAAGTACTCTCCAAACATAAAATATCTTTGTTGCAGTGTTGCATACTATTATGATCCCAAAGAATTATTGTATGTATCACCTGTGTGCATTCTTAATGTCATAAAGTTCTACTTCTTTTTCTTCTAGCAGTTGCTTTAATTCCTCTTTTCTTTTATTTTGCCTTTCTAATTTTCCCATTAGCTCTTCAGATTCAGCAGCTTTTTCATCCAACTGCACTTGAAAATATTTCTGAGCTTCCTTATTTTCTTCATGCTGTTTTCTGATTTGTTTATCTTTTTCTTGTAAGCCCTTTAGAAGATAAATATTTTAGAACACAGAAACTCCCTTCATTTTAACTTTATTACCCTTAAAGAGTATCTGTTTATGCTGGGCTGTAATAAAGAAGAGACAGATATGTGAAAACTTACTCTTCTAAATGGAAAATACTTAGTAAAGTGACAGCCAGTTAAATAATCTTCATCTAAAAAGTCAGAATTAAAAATCATCAAAACATAAATCTGAAATTGGAAGCAAGTTGAGGAAAAAAGTTATTTAGAATTCTAATACAACAATTTATTCTACGTACACAAATCACTGAGCTCACATTCTGTTACATGGCTATACAGTTTAATGAGTAACACATCTAACCTTCACTGACATAACATACTTACTTGCTCTGATTAATAAGCTAAAGTCTTAAGTTTCTAGATGAGATGAGTGGAATGAATAGAACAAAACATAGTAGCTCTGCTGTTAAAAGAAATATTGATTTACAAGAACAAAATAAAGAAGAAAATATTTACATTGTAAAGTAAACCTAAAGCAAACTTTTAAAAATCTTTTTTTTCCTTTTCTTTTAAGTACACAGGAAGAATTATGCTATCCTGGTTTTTCCTCTCTCAAAATCAGTATCAAGAATAGCTTGAGGCAAGACAAAGAAAAAAAACACTTGACATAAATATGGTTCCATGGGAGATTTAAAGTAGCATCTCTGTACATCAAGTCCATACAAGGCTGTCTTCTGCTCTCAAGGAAACCAATTGCCACTGACAAACTGATTCTGCTTTCTGAGTTGGTAAAACGAGGAGTACAGAGCCAGCTTTCATTTCAGCTTTTACAGTAACTTTCAGTGCAAGTCTTAATTTTAGATAAGCACACAAATTGTCAGAGATGGCACTTACTTCTTTTAATCTCCTAACTGTTTCTGTCTGATCGTCCACTATTTTGTTTTTAATTCTTATAGTATCGTTGTCTTGTTCCTTTTGTTTTTTTAACATCTCAATCTCATTCGTTAAAACTTCAATTTTTGCCTCCAGTTTTCCCCGATCTTGAGCAAGATGAGCTCCTAGATAAAACAGGATATTCATCCTACAGCACTCGTTTTACAGATTATTTCAAGATGTAGAGTGTCAGGGGAGGGGGAAGGGAGGAACCAGAATGTCAGGGGAGGGCGAAGGGAGGAACCACCTTAAAAAACAAACATGACCATTTCACCCATTGGAAATACTGTAAGGCTTTAACCTGTAGGTAGGTAACACTGAAAGAGGAAATGTAGAACTGAAGGTCTGTATTTTATCCTTTGAAATTTTGTCTGATAAAAGTCAACAGTAATACTTACACACCCAGACAGTCTCAAAGAATCCACAAGGTGGTGCTGAGACACATGAATTCAGGGAAAAATTAAAACGGCTCAAGCTTTTTTCACCTAATATTTAACTTTTTTTTTTTTAAAGATATCTACTGAAACTTTCACATTAGACCTATCTGATAGACAAACAGCATTATATAACACTATTTACAAGTCCTTGTTTTCCAAGTTTCATATTTAAAAGTTCTTCGAATAGCATTATGGTATTTTGACATTTTGGGGAAATAGATAAACTGTAGTTGCAACTGACTCCTGCAACTGCCATCACAGTTCCTGTACTGGCCTGCGTACCACAGAAGATCCAGTTTTGCACATCATAACTGGATAAGATCAACAAGGCATCCAGAGACCCTGGCATGATTACAGCTAACTTTGAGTGTTTATTTGAAAGGTGAGACATTGAACTCCACTATTTTTTCTTGGGAAAAAAAAAAAATTAAAATTAAAAAGATTTACCCTGTTGTGCCAACTCCTGCCCCCATATTTTTCTTTCCATTTTTAACCCATCAATCACAGATTCCTGGGCTGTCAGCTGAGAAAGAAGTTTCCCATTTTCCTTTTTCAGAAGTTCAACTTGAACAGCCTTCTGTTTGTCCTCCTCAATCACAGTTTCAAGTTCTCCAGTTCGACACTGTATGAATGAACATTGGAAAAATGCAGTAAAATCCTTTAAAACAACTGTTCAAAATTTTAAGTCAATACTAAGCAACTAGGAAAGTAATACTGATATACAGTGATTTATGGTAACTGTGTAATATTCTGCTTGCAAACAGAGTTCTATCTGCATTTCTTCCCAGTAATGAAACACAAATATTAGCTTCAAATAGACATATTTCAATCCCGGAAAACTGAAAAGCTGATTTCTAAATAGCCACCTTAAATTATCTGTGCCATTATAAAAACCTGTTATAAAAAGCCAAAGAAGAGAAACAGAAAGTTAAGATACTAAAAACCAAATCAAAAGAAAACAGACAGAAGCTGGGATAAACTCCAACATCCCATGACAAAGATTTATCTTCAGTTACGCAGACTACTTTTTGTTTTACAGATTACAGCTGTTTAATATAGCTATTTTTTAATTTTGTTTTTAGCAACATCACTGACTGTCAGAATCCTATTCTGTATAACACCACACTGTTTGGACACCCCAACAGCAACATGTAGGGAGGAGATTAGAAACAACTGTGCAGGGGTTGTACTGCACGGAAATTCTAACATAAAGATGGACTGGCTGCATACGTGGACTGGAGCACACAACAGTTCAAGAGTTATGTTCCTAAGATTTTTAAGAATTAGTTATGGACAATGTAGTACTAAAATATTTTACCACATGATGATCAGTAGTGGAAGATCACAGAATCACAGAATATTAGGGA